TCTCCTCTAGGTGCCGCTGTGGGCGCTCCTGTTTCTGTTGCCTCTGGTCAACAGCGCTCACGTTAAAGCCGACGCCGGTGCCATTGGTGCGGGTGTGGACTCGGACCACATGGCGGGCCTGCTGGGAGGCCAGGAGCAGCGACAACTTCCAGTCCTCCCGGAGGTGATGGAGGACATGGAGCAAGAAGACGATAACTACCCGTATTCTCCTTGGCATCCTCTGTATGGTAATAAAAATTTGCTAAACATAGCGACCAAGTGCCGAAGTTGGCATCACTGACTGTAAAAAGCTTTTGTAAAAAGCTGCTCCCTTTTTGCCACTAGGTTGTTAGTGGAAGCAATGCACATCAGCCAGCGAATTTGGATAAATACTGAATTTGTTACGCTCTATTTATTTGTCCTTTTTTTTTTAAGACCCTTCCGTTGTCGATGAAGCGGACGACCATCCGAGCGCTCGCTGGGTGGGCCGCATGGCACGTTCCTCGGACCCCTCCAAATCTCAACCGAAAGGCTCGGCGAAGAAAAAGAAGAGGAAGAAGAAAGAAAAGGACGACGCCGAGGACGCGGTGAAGGGAGACGGAAGAGGACGACGTAAAAACAAGCAGCCCAAGCAGAGCAGCAGGGACTGCCGCGTGGAGAAACGAGAGATGAAAGTCCGCGATCTGGGACTCGGCTTCGACTCGGATGAGATCGTCCTCTTCAAGTTTTGTGTGGGCTCCTGCCAGTCTTCCAGGACTAACTACGACCTGGCGCTGAAAGCCCTGCTGCAGAACGGCTCGCTCCCGCGACGCACCTCCCGCAAGGTCAGCAACCACCCATGTTGTCGACCCGAACGCTACGAGCCCGTGTCCTTCATGGACGCTCAGACCACGTGGAGGACCATCCAGTCCTTATCTGCCGCGAGCTGCGTTTGTATGGGCTGAAGGAGACCAGTCCTCTCCAGTGATTGGACACAAAAAAATGCACCAAAGACTCACGAAGCAGGAAGCAATGGAGTCACTTCCTGTTTTTTTTTTCCCCTGTCCTGGAGGACGCGGTCTGGGTGCAGCTCATTACTAGACCAGTGTTTCCCAACCTGTGTTGAGCCAAGGCACTCCTTTTATCTAAAAAAAATGTCACAAAAAGTGGATACGAAGGGTCATTATACCTTCTGCCATCTAGTGGAAGAGCATTTTAATGCTTCTGCCTGTCACTATATGTCACTGGCAAAAAATAGATGAACAATACAGTACTGATAGAAAAATTGATCGTAAATTCCTGATGATCTCTCACAGCACATAGGTTGGGAATTACTGGACCGGGGGGGCAAAGGTCACAATCAAAGCCAAAGAGGAGGCTTTGGAAAGCTCCTTGAGCATTTATCCAAATATTCTTGAAATACAGGATAAGGTCCATGTACTAGTCCACGAGTAAAACAATTTAGTAGAACGACAAGGGCGCACTACTAGTAAAACTGTATTTTACTTGTAACGTTTTTTTTTTTCCCACTAGTGCTTGGCAATACTGTATGACAGTAGTGCACTAGAATGACATCTACAGTTGTACAGGAAAGTTACTTTTGAGGCAAAAATGCACACTTATAGACATCCGCGTGCTACGATTCCATATAAATGCTCAAACGGCCATTTGAAGATTTATTCAATATTCTCGATATCCAGCTTCAGGTGAGCATGACAACAAGTAAGACCATTTAGCGCTCTAGTAGAGCGACTAAAAAGCACTAGTACGACGACTACATTTTACTCATAACGTTGTTTTCCAGTCCAAATGCCACTTTTAGCCGACTAGCATGCAATCAAATCTTACTTTAAAATTATATTCCGCAGCAGTAACGCTACTAGTTGCTGCTAGTGGGCATGTGTCACGCACTAGTAGTCTCCTCAACCTATCGAGTCGAACCAAAAATGCCCAGTGGAAGTTTTGCCTCACTGCCAAAGTTGTCATAGAGCAGTGAAAAAAATAATAAGTGTAAGATGCAATCATACCCCCAAAAAGTACAAGTTGTATTTTTACAGTGTATGAGTGACCGGAATTTTCTTACTATTGAGGTCAAAGAGCATACTAGTGCATGGACCTTAAGGTTGAACTCGAGTAAATGCTCAAATTGCTTTCTGCGGGAGACCATGATGGAGCCACAGTATGGATTTTTTGTTACGAGCGAACTCTTTCCCTCTATCCACATATGTTGCAGACTCACAGGATGGACAATGTGAACGTGACTGCTTTGATTTGGAACATGCGTGACTACCCAAAAAGTCTGAGACTCGAGTGACAGCTCGAGCAGCGACCGGGCATTTATCTTGGAAAACAAGCAAACAGACGGCGCTTAAATGTTCAATATTTACTACTCGCGGAGATGTCAGCTCTTCCCAGAAGTTCAATAACAAGTAAATGGGTTCAATGTTCAAGTGAGCTCAGCCAAATGGATGCCATGCATCTTCACGTATTACTGTATAAAAGTAAAATATATTTATTTCTGATAAATTATTTATTTATTATAGCTTCGTATGAGAGCTGTTTTATTCCACTCTGTATCGTAGATGTATATCTATTTATTGCCAAACGTCAATTTTCATATTATTTCTGCTCCCCCATTCACAATGTACATACTTCATGAAGGTGCCGAATCTCTTTTCAGAGCAGTCCAACTCCTCAAAAAAAAATCGGACCATGTAGCCGATGCCAAGGGCTCACTTCGAGATTTGTTTTTGTGAAAACAACACCTCGGTGAAAAACTTCACCACGAAACCGACGTCCAGTGGAATGACATTGTGTGCATAATAAATATCCTTGCTTAAAAGTACCTCACACACTTGGGCCCGATGATTGATTGAACAGAACGCTGAGTCACCGACTTTAACAACTACGACGGAATTTTAACTATATTTACTTATACACTTCACTCTCTTAATGGATTGTATGTACACAGAACACAGCGCACCTCATCTCAGAGACTAATGCGTTATCTGCATTATTACAGTGCAACCACAACTCTCCGGTGGTGACCTGTCAGAGTGAACTGGAGTGACAACCGAAATTGTCACATTTGTTCCATGAAATACTAATGATCTCTTTCCAACAGTCTGTCCTCTAAATTTCATAGCGTTTCGCCTGCTGCTCTTCTAGAAGTCTGAGTATGTACATTTTTTTTCATCCAATCAAATTTCAGCCTCATTGTGTTGCCATGTCAGTCTAATCTGCCCACGGCCTTCTTTGTGGGGGTTTTCAGGCTTTCTTCACGCTCGCTGTTGTCCATCGAGGTGAATGTGAACGCGAATGGTGGTTTGTCGCCTGGCGACCAATCCAAAGTGTCATCTGGGATAGGCTCCAGTTCACCCAAACATCGCTAATCGTTTTATGCACGTGTTTCATTAACTATTTTGACGATGTGCTCTTTTGTCCTTCAAATACTCGTCTTACCAGAATGATCTTTTTGTGTTGTAGCACCCCCTGCTGGCTGAATCGGAACGTCATGACAAGTTGGGAAACGTTTTCTCGATCGTTAGCTCATCAGCGTCGTTTTAATTCTTTACACACATTCAACATCACGTCATATAGTAACCCTTTTTTCCTTTCTTTTAGAATTTATTAAAACATTAAAAGTGGGATTAAAAAAAACACAACAAGACTTCGATGAATTGTTTACATTCAGTCGTCCCTCCCTGCATCAGTTTTCTATGGCACAGAGAAGGTTAGCAGCACGTCGTTGAAAAAAGTACATCGCGACACCATCATGCATTGTCTTGAGACACAAACGTCACACAAATTGATACAGTACATGTTAAGTTTCATTTGTACCCATTGGGTATAAAAAAATGTTTGTTTGCACACATTTCCTTGCTGGAAAATTGGCACAGAGGTTAAAACGTGTTTTTTTTTCAGGACCCACACCGCTTTCACAGTGTCCAAGTTTGTCAGAGGGACTGAAGGACGTCCAGGCATGGATCCACTTTTCATGCTGTCAGACGGTTGGTAGTTTTCTCCTATCACGGTTATCAGAGAGGCTGTCATAATGATTCATAATTAACATGCCAATGTGAACAAAAATTTGATCTCCATTTAGAATCAGAAACAAGTGCATTGTTTGCCTACTTTTTTTAAACCTGTGTGCAGCAAGTTCAAATATTAACTTTAAGCTTTGAATTGTTTGCCTTTTGCAATGTTCTGCTCATTCGAAATCGATTCTACATAAAAGCAGTGTAAAAACGGTACATATTTGTCACATGGAGTAAATGTATTGTAAGCTCACTGAGAAGTAAACTGTGCTAGCCTCTCTTCCAAACCATGAGGAAAAACATTCACATTCACTAATACAATTCAAGTGCTGTCTCTTAAAAATTTAGCTTTCACAAGATCATAAGCCTCATATTTGAACACCAATATGAAATCAAATATGCTAAGTAATATTGATGCGAAATTGCACTTTTTTTGTACAGGGATGCGTGTCGATAGCTTGCTCTTCTCATCTTAGTAACGTAAGCAAACTATTTCAAACCCCTGTCACTATGAGGCAGTGTTGATCAAAACTGAGCATTATTATGAGGATTACTCGAGACTTTTTCTCTTTTTTTTTGTAAATCTTCTGTCTTGGATATCGTCCCTGTGCACAGTTACCTAATAACGTGTCCTATGAATGGTCTCTTTATGCAGGCTGCAAAAGAAGACTTCTTCAAAAGATCCGTTATTATTAATCATACATTTATGATAGGAGTAATTCCCAACCCCTGTGCCATGGCTCAGAGCGTCATCAGAGATCAGCAGAAGTGCCGTGAAAAATGTTCCACTTCAACTTTGTATTTACTACAAATAATATATCATGATTTATCTGTCAATGGCAGCAACATACAGTGACATATAAATGCCCGCCGATACATAAGGCATACCCACATTTTGCCAATCATGCAAAATGAGATGAGATCATCATAATGGCTGGACGTTTCGTGACATTTTTTTTTCCAAATGTAAAATATATATGCCTTGGCTCAGTAAAGGGCAGGCATGAAAAACACTGCATTAGAGGTATTTGACTGACCGACAGGAACTCGGGGTGCTAAATGTGCATGTGACCATCTCGCCTGTCCTGACATGCGCACAAGTGGGCTGTCCCGGCGAGGCCGCCACCGAATCGCTCTGCTGCTGCTTTGCATCAGCCTCAATTTTGTTTTCGTCTTTAGGCATCGCGCTCGCTTCCACGCTGAACGGGTGGAAGTTGACCCGAGCTGTGTCGTAGTCCCAGGCGTGTCTCATGGCGAAGTGAGTGAAGGAAGGCTTTTCCTCGGTGGCCATTCGCTGCCCCGCATCTTTCCGCCGTATCGACGCGTAGCTGGTGTCGTTTGTGTTGAAAGACGGAGGGGAGTCCTGACCTCCGACCCAGCCGAGATGTTCTCCGCTGCTTTCTTTCACACGGGTGACCGCCCGCTTCAACTTCCCGCAGCCCTTCAAAAGCAGGTTTTTCCGGCACAGGATGTACACCCACGGGTCCAAAATGGGGTTGAAGGAGGCGAAGCGAATGGCCAACAGGTCGCTGCGGTAGTCGGGCTTCCCTCCGGCGGAAATATAATCAGGGTCGTAAAGCTGATTCACGAAAATTCTCACCTGAGACACAAAGAGAAAGACATCTTAAACAGGGTACACGCATACAAAAATATACAAGTACCATCGTAACTTATTTTGAAAATGGAGTGTTGTGTAAATTTAAAGGCGGAGATGTGCATTCCAGCAGCACCGATGAACCTGCGAAGGACGCCCATGTTGTTGAAGAATGACGAGAAAATGACAGACTGAAGATTGACGGAATTGGGTTTTCATCCGGCAATGTCATACTCACGAAAATGGTCAAGTAACCTACTAATAAACCTCCCAATCTGTCATTGACGGACAACTGCTTTGTTGACGGGGTATATACTGGATTGACTATGTATGGAAAAGCTTTGAGCTTCCTGTACAGTAGGTGGCGGTATGCACCAAACAACTAATAGTTCAATAAAATAAGAGAAGAAGAAGAACTGACAGTCATGGAAACTTGGGTTTGGTTTCCTCAAGGATTTACGAGGCACATTAATCCACCAGGATTGTACCTTTGGCTACAATGTAACACCGGCCTCTGATTAAGGTAAGCCATTTGAAACTTGAAATGAAAACTTTTTCGGTGTTTCAGGCGTTAAAACAGCGACAGGCAGCCACTACCAGCGTGCTCCCCCTGTAACAGATTAAATTGGCAAATTGTGAGGCTTTCGAAAGCTCTGAGTTGCCACCGTATGATGGAGATAAAACTGATATATAGTTGACCATTTCCCAGTGTGTAGAAAGTGGTCATCCCTGTGAGAGGGAAGGCTGTGCCGCTGTGGGAGTGGTCACAGCTGACTTCATTCATGCCTAATCAAAGCCCCTTTAAATTCGGTGCAGTCGGTGCACACTAGAGTCTTGACATGGTGGAAGGAGATCTGTGCTGTGACGTGTGCACAGATGACTGCCAACCAGCCCCGATTGTGTTGTGTTGCTGTGCTGCCCAGTAGGATCATTAAAAAATATTTATAATACAATGATCTGAGGGTTTTCTGCCTGCTGTTCACTAATTTATGAATGAAATATGCAGTTTGATGGATGGATTAATGGATGGATGTGTAATGTCACCAACTGAATTGAAACATCCCTGGAAGAATGTCTGTAACATTGATGTGTGCGCGGTTATTTGTTTTCTTCAGTAGTATGTAAACCATCTCCCATATTTCCCATTGTCATTGAACACACCGCAGGTCTCAGTTATCACAGATTATGCGATCCCCAACAAGAGGGAGGTCATCGGTGATACTGCCACGAAATTATCCACTGGTCATTTCTTACTGTCCGAAGGTAACTAAAATGTATTATTATTATTATTACAAATATCTATGAACTTGTTTATCTATCTGCGACGTAAATAGGCTATTCTTCCACTAGATGGCAGAAGGTTCAATTGACTTGTGTAGCCACTTGTTGCCATCCAACCGAAAAACTTCCTGCGAGCATTGTGTTCAAGTGAACATGTCTAAATTTCAGACTGAGTAAACTAATTTGTGAGTAAATAAAGACGAGATCATCATTCTTTCACCTTTTGTCCCTGACATTTTGTTGCCTGCCGTGGGATTATTCTCATGTCAAATGGGTGCCTTAATTGACTCAATAAAGGTTGAAATGAGCACTGCTCAAGACTCCCGTCGTACTATTGTGAAAAATACATCGAAAGTGTTAGGAAACAACTCGTTCTTACCACTAGAGGGATGGAACACACCAGGAAAACGATCGTCATAAAAACGAGCAGCCAGAACATTTGAATCTCCGCCGCCGAGGACACCGGCTGGAACCGTGGGAAGCGTCTTCGGGAGCCGCCCTGCTCGCACGGCTCGGCTCGAACGATCCCGGTCCTCTGGTTCATGCCCACCAGCGACTTGCACACGGCCAAGTTGCACAGCACAGTGGCGGCGATGAGCAGTGACATCACGCCGCCGTACAGGAACGAGTAGCACGCACCCAGAGGATCCGTCGCCCTCCAGTCGAGAAAGCACCAAGTTCCCGGGAAGTGTCGAACATGCTGCCCGAAGCCGAAACTGGGCATGACGCACAGGACCATGTTGGCCAGGTAGACCGCGAGGAGGGCGAAACGCGCCATGGTCCTGTCTATGTGCTGGGAGTAGAAGTAGGCGTGGTTAATGGCCAGGTATCTCTCCACGGCCATGGCGCACAGGATGGACATGCCGGCCGAGCCAAAGAAGAGCATGGAGAAGGAGAAAAAGTGACAAAGAAGCGCTCCGCCGGGCCACCGGCTGGCCACGTAGGTGGCGATCACCACCGGGCTGGTGAAACACGTCCCCAGGAGGTCCGTGATGGCCATGCCGCACACCAGTGTGTAAAAAGTGGTCTCCTTCTGCTCCTTCTTGGACACGCACAGGACCACGATGGCGATCACGTTCCCCAGGACGCCCACGGCGAACATGGTGGCCGAGGTGACCAGAGACCGGGATTCGAGCCTCAGCGTGGGGAACGCGCTGTGGTTGTGACCCAGAGAGAGAGCCGGCTCCGAACCGTTTGCGTCCAACGCCGTGGTGTCGTTGATCATCATTTAGAAAAAATAAACAAGAACAACAACAGCAAACGGGCGAAAGAGTTTTTACTTTTGATCATCCCAAAACAAAGCAAACAACAAAGATCAGAAAGAGCGTCAGGTGCGACTTGCTGCTCACTTCAACTGTTTTTATCCCGCATGGAGGTGCGCTTGCTTGTGTGTACACGCTCCTACTCTGTGCGGGTATTTAAGCTCGGTGCTGATGTCAGGACTGTGACGTGCGTGCGGGCTGCATGCGAACGCCATCCGCTCCCCGTGGATCTCATTTTTACTAGCAGAGTCAAATCATTAAGTGCAAAGCATTTATCTCAAGGTCACAAGGGGGCAGAGGGGCAATGCCTTGGATTGTTCACATGAGGATCAATTATAACAAACGCATGAGGGGGGGGGGGAAGACACTTATTGACGACAGTAGTAGACACACTTGCACAATTTTCAATCTTTAGTTTGTCCCGGTTGACTTAAGGAGAAAAGTGTGTAGTTCACCCTGGACTGGTCGCCATCCAATAACAGGGGACAAACAGTAAGTATAGACAATCAAGATTCTTCTGCCACCTGTCCAGAAGCTGCGATCATGTCAAAGCTAAAAGGTAAGCAGAGCTGCAGTCTTGTTGCAGTATTCGCTTCTGTTGTCACGCTTAAAAATGGCCGCCTCTTCATTTTCATTTGGGAATTTGATGCACTGCGTTGCTCCTCGCGGCGCATTCCTGCAGACAAACGGCATTTTTCTGACACACCTCTGGCGCACCGGACGATTTGATGACAAAAAAGTAGACTAGGATTGAACAGCCAAAAGCCGGTCTAAATTGGGGTACAGTTGGATTTTGGTTTCATCCTTGTGCGTGCACTGCAGCCTCTTGCCACGGACCTAACCAGTCCTTGCCTTGTTGTTGTTTGTTTCCAAAGCCTTGCCATTTGGAGTTGTCAGTCTCTGATCCTCAAATAAATATATATTTTTTTTACTTTGAACCCTCCAACTGTGTCCAAGCCTGGTTCTGACAGCAGTAGCTTTGAAATGTACTTTGCACCCCATCGAGTCCTTTTCCCACGCCGACTGCCCGCCTCTCTCTGCGCTGAATTAAAAAGGAATGAGGGCATCTGCTTCCATTGGATAGCAAACGCTCCCACTCTCCCCTTCCACAACGGCGCAAACTCCCCCTTCTATCTGCACCCGTCTAGTCATCCATTGCCATTTCACTTAAATCCTAATGACTTGGTTTGGATGGATGGGATAAAACCCTATTTTGGCCTGAGAGGAGTGGCTGTCAGCACCAAGGTCAGCTCCAAATGCTGGCTCGCTCTTAAAACACATTAGTCATCATTAAATACTCATAACTCAGACTTTATTATAAATAAATAAAACTCGACAGCTCGACCAGATTGTTGAATAAACGCACTGGCACTATACTCACTTAAACTTAAATCGACTGAATTTGACCTAATGAACGATGATAATAAACTGCCTGTGATGATGATGATGATGATGATGATGATAAAGATGGTGATTATTGTTATTATAATCTTACATTTCAATCAAGCCAGTTGCAAATGGAAAATTAAAAGTTTGTCTTTGAAGACTTCTTCAAAATACTTCAGGAAAAAAAAGACACATGGAAAATGTAAATCGCGTTTTCACTTGGAAATAGATTCAAGCGTGTTAGTTTTGAAACGAGAGATTAAATCTGCGCTAAAATGTGGAGAAAGAACAATTGCACACGAGGCTGTCTGACTGATAAAGGAGTGTGACATTTTGTATTCACCGAAGTGTAAGTGAATGAAAACAAAAGCCTGAAATTCGCTGCATAATAGAGCTTTTCTGGCATGTGAGTGAAGTTTTTTTTTTTTTGTGCATATTGTTTGTGTTTTAATTTTGCAGCATCTTGTCCATCATGTTGATTGTTCTCACAGTAGGGTGTAAAACGTCTTACGCTGAATACCGTTTCATAGACACATGAAACATTCAAAATATAATAGTTGAGCAAAAATGAGATATGGTTTTATACCTACAAATTAGATTTGATCGTATTTTAAAAAGCTGTAACATGGTGCACAATTTCAACATTTGCAATCAGCAATTTTTAGTGAGTATCTTGGTGTATTATTTTTTAATTGATTTGGTAGCACGATGTTAAAAAATGACATGGGCAATCATGCTATTAGCTATGATTAGATTTGCTGTGAATATATATCGGCTTGAAGCCTCCAGTCACCTAATTTTTCAGTGGCAATGAGGGGTTCCCCTGTAATTATAAGTTGCAATTTCACATATCACCGCTAGATGGCGGACATGGCTTTATTATGCTTAAGTCTTATACTGCGCAATATTTTTTTTTCTGGATTTGGAACGATATGGGGGACAAACATAAAGCATTAATAATATTAAAATTTTGAGTGAGTTGATTTTTAAATGAGTTCTTGCACTTAATGTGAGTTTCTTTTTCAGTAGTTTTGTGCCATCCTTGAATGGTAAATTTTATGCAAGAAAGCACTTTGCATTCGAGAAAAAAATACACTTTGTTGTTATTTTTTTGTTTCCTTCAAGCCTTTTGTTTTTAGGTTAGAATAGAGGACCTTTTATAAATCCATTGGAAAATATTAAAAAAAACGAAAAATATGAAGAACACTTATTTTGAACTTTTGCACATATTTTGTCCGTATTTAAAATAGCATTTTTGTCAAACATCTTGTCAGGATGTGCAGCACTGAAGTTGCCCATCCCTGGTTCATAGTGAGGTTATATCGTCAGGAAAGCGCGACTCTTTGTGTGGCTCAAATGTGTCACTAGGCCCCGTTTTAGTCACGCCTTAAAAAATGGAAAACTGAAACCTCCACAATTGAGCACTCCATAGTTCTCAGCCTTTGTACGTCTTCTGCAAACATGTAATGTCTTCAAAAACAAAACTCTGAATTCACTTGATCCTGATTGGAATTCATTTCCCAATATTTCCTCTGGTGAAAACAACAAATTGGTGCTTGGCAAGCTTTCTGGAAGCCTATGAGTTTCTTCTCGATTGGCCGTAGAAAATAGTTTTGGTTTAGGATTGGGCCACCTATCATGAATGAAATTCGACTTACACGGCGCATAGTAGGTTGACTGTCTTGGAGAAATAATGACATTGCGATGCTGTCATTAGCTTCCCTGTTGGTCGACCTAACTAGCCATAGTGTGCTCTTTCTTTGTGTGTCCATCGTTAGATTCTGGCAACACGAGGGCCAATGCGGTTAATGAGTGTGTGTAACACAGCATCCCGTCCATCCAGGTACATCAGGGAAATGAGCCTTGGACTCTGATTTTGTTTCCCCCTTGAGACCACGCAAAGAGAATAATGGCTAATGGGAGGTTGTGTATATGCCGCTAGTTCAGTGCTCCATCCCCCCTCTTAAAACTATCTGTTGCCATAGCGATTAGCATCAGTGATGAATGCCGAGCTGTATTTGTTTAGCATTTATTGAACTTCTGATTGCAAATCCATTAACACGGTGAGGTGGATTCACATCCTGGACTACAGTATTCCTTTCAAGACTTGAGTCAAGGTAAAAATATTGACATTATTGTTAGTTTTGTACCTTGCATGAGTACACCCCTTTTGAATGATCTTTTTTTCCCCCACGTTTGCCTTTTTGTCTGTGGAATTCATCCTCACATGTTACTGGACTCTGGACTTAGGAAAGTAGTAATTGGTGTCAAGCAAGTATGTTGGAGGGATGCATCTTGTCTTTTCTAAGATCTTTACATGTCGGGAATGAGCTAAGTTTATGACATGGAATCCAATCAAAGAAACAAACAGTTTTTGCCACACTTTGTCCCCTAAATGCACATTCTGGTGTTCAGTCTGATGTTTTTGCCTTAGCCACCTGGGGGCAGCACAACACAGACAGACCTTGTACTTGAGACTCAGCTCTTCTCTTGGCTTCTCAGTGCAGCTGTAATCTTCACAGAGACTAAAGAAGAAAAACCTGTGAGTATTGTTCTATAACTTACACTGCACCTGGATATAGAAATAAAGTGAGCACACACACACGCATGTACACACACACACACACACGCATGTACACGCACAACTCACACACACACTTGGGAGCTACAGCACTGTGAAAATCAAAATCGAATCTGTGGAAATGAAAGAATTTGTCATATGAAACGGAGGAAGGATCTGTCTGATGGGAGACGGCGGCGGTGGCGGAGGCTCTCCGTCTCTGTCTGCCTAAGTGGATTCCTCCCCAGTTATGACGGACAAAGAAGAGGCCGAGAGAATCCCTCCGTGGAGTGTTTGTGAATTTGTGTCTGCTCTAATAACCCAGAGGCGTCAGTAGTACTGATGGCCACAGTGTAAAGTTCTCTCTCTCTCTCTCTCTCTCTCTCTCTCTCTCTCTCTCTCTCTCTCTCTCTCACATATAACTGTCACGCTGTCTGGGCACGGTCATTTATGTTTATTACCGTATTTTCCGTACTGTAAGGTGCACCTAAAAGCATTCTTTTTTTCCCAAAAGCCGACAGTGCACCCTATAATCCAATGCACCTTATATATGGTGTTTAACGGTCTCTTTATGTTCCCCATTGAGTTGTTTCCCTGTTAGTGTTCCGATGCCACCTAATGGTGATTATTAGCAGGAACCAATTGTAACCGAAAAGGATTCTGCCCGACACTAATTGACATGTGCATTCACCAACACACACTCAAACAGACAATTACTTTGTGAGCTCTGCGCTGCCGTTATGAAACTGGTAATACCAAAAGGATAAATAGCTACTGACTAAACGGAGGTTATTAAAGAAAAATGCTTTGTTTTTTAACTCACAGGTCGTTTTTCATATTGTAATTATTGTGAAAAATCATTATCATTATCAGAATCAGTGTCTATATATAAATAAATGTGATTAATTATAATTAACAACTAGGGATGTCTCAAACTAATCGTTTTCCAATTGATTACCAATTGAGTATTCCAAGATGACTAAGGTCATCGCCCCCGTTCCAACCAATTTTTGTGGTTGACTTAGCCAAGACCATTTTGCCCTCCCTCCCAAAATAATAACATGTAACAACAACAACATATGATTAAACCTAATTTGAGCAGCTTTGTTCTTTTAGGCATGTGTGTATCCAATTGGTTGCCCTTTGCACGAATTGTTCACCAAAAAGTTGCTCTCAGCTCACAAAGTTTGCCGACCGTTGTTCTATAGTTTAAGATATCACAAAGGCAACAAAAAAAAAACCAAAACACATCGATCCCAAGGTCGCTCTTCTGCTGGCCATGTTTCTTCTCACAAAAAGCTCGTTGTCTCCATTTTTGGGTTAGAAACTGGTGTTTTTTGTGAAACCAAACAATGTTCACCTACTGATTACTAAAAAAACGGAGAAAAAAAGTCCGTTTTTTTTAGGTTTTGTGCTCACATTGTCACAGACACAATATTTCTGTGGGTCTTGAAAGATCAGTCAAAACAGCCGGCAATACTGAATATGGAATTAATGAGTTAACCCTTTCGTGCACCCTGTAACCTGATCACGTGACAAGCTGTCCACTGTAGTAAGCGCTGTCACTGAAAGGGTTAAATAGAATACGTAAGAGGACCGCAAAAGGCGTATACTAATTTTTTTCTCACAAAACTCAAACGGCCCGTCAGTGTCAGTTAGTGAGCCGTACGAAAACATATCATCAAACGCAGTGAGTCAAGTTTCTTTTCTGGCCCGGGCGATTGGATTCGATGTGTCATGGCGCCACACGGGCGACGTTAATTTGCTGATGACGCT